TCATCAAAACAAAAAAATGTATATCTAGTTTTTTTCATGCTCTATCAGTCCTGAAAGTTTCATGAAAATCGATCGAGCCGTTTTTGAGAACTCGCGTGCACAAAATCGGTAAGAAAAATAATAATAATAATAATAACTAGATACGATCTCGTTGCGAGCAACGAGTGGGTCTTCCGTTCGATTCTTGATGAGATGAGATCAAATTTTGATTGAGATTTTCATTCTAAAATAATGATTTTCCATAATCTGTAAAAAGAGATTGAACATTAAAGACTTTCAAAAAATCAACTTTTGGCCCCTCACGGCGCCAAACATTTTGGATCAGCCCTTTTTCCTTCATATCATCTGAAAGCTCTCATGATTTTGATGACTTTTTGTTCAACAACTATTCAGAGATTTTTTTTTTGGTTTTTGAGTTATTCACATAAGAAATAGTTAGGGGCCAGCCCTTCAACTCCTTAATAGGGACGTTTAGCGAAAAATAAAAGATTGCATATTGTTCAGAACATGATTTTGAACATCTTTTGTTCAATATTACTTTTCAAAATATTTCTCACTTTCGAGATATAAAGCGTCAAAGATTTAGCATTCTGGCCCCTTTTGGCCCCTAATTATGTATTATACGACATTAAAATCATAATATACAGTGGTAGATTGTTGAGATAAACATTTTTGCTTCAGTAATGTATAACAAAATATTGACTGTTAAAGAGTTATCAAAAAAGACTTTAAGCCCCTTTTGGCCCCTAATTTGAGTGCCCAGCCCCTTTTTCTTGAGATCATCTTGAAGCTCCTAGGATTTTGAACACTTTTGGTTCAATAACTATTCAGAGATTCTTTTTCGTTTTCGAGTTATTTGCAAAAGAAATATTTAGGGGCCATCCTTTCAACTCCCTAACAGGGACTTGTATAGCGAAAAATGAAAGGTTGCATATTGTTCAGAACATGATTTTGAACATCTTTTGTTCAATATTACTTGTCAAAATATTTCTCACTTTCGAGATATAAAGCGTCAAAGATTTAGCATTCTGGCCCCTTTTGGCCCCTAATGATGTATTATACGACATTAAAATCATATTATACAGTGGTAGATTGTTGAGATTAACATTTTAACTTCTGTAATGTATTACAAAATATTGACTGTTAAAGAGTTATCAAAAAAAGATTTTAAGCCCCTCTTGGCCCCTAATTTGAGTGCCCAGCCCCTTTTTCTTGATTTCATCTTGAAGCTCTTAGGATTTTGAAAACTTTTTGTTCAATAACTATTCAGAGATTCTTTTTTGTTTTCGAGTTATTTGCAAAAGAAATATTTAGGGGCCAACCCTTCAACTCCCTACTGGGGACTTTTAGCGAAAAATGAAAGGTTGCATATTGTTCAGAACATGATTTTGAACATCTTTTGTTCAATATACTTGTCAAAATATTTCTCACTTTCGAGATATAAAGCGTCAAAGATTTAGCATTCTGGCCCCTTTTGGCCCCTAATCATTATTATACGACATTAAAATCATAATATATAGTTGTAAAATGTTGAGACAAACATTTTTGTTTCAGTAATGTATAACAAAATATTGAATGTTAAAGAGTTATCGAAAAAAAGACTTTAAGCCCCTTTTGGCCCCTAATGTGATGAGTCAGCACTTTTTTCCTGATATTATTTTAAAGATCTTGTCATTCTACACAAATATTGCGCAATATGTTTTAACAAAATAATTACACTTTAAAAGATATGATGCAAAATGTCGCAAAAAATCAGTCATGAATCGTGTCCTAAATTTTGACCCCTACCGAGCTTCCATACTAGGCACTTCCGGAAAATATCCTGACCCAGGTGCAACATGGCAACATGTCCTCTATCATCCCTGAAAATTTCAGCTTTCTAGCTTGAGTCGTTTTTGAGTTCCATCACAGACAAGGAGGTCCTATAAATTTCTATCAAAGGGCGTTAACTTCCGACCGGAAGTGAATTTCAAAAAAATGAAAAAAAAGTATAAGGTTTAGATAAAGATACATCTTCTCTGAAAATTTCAAGTAAATCGGTCGAGCCATCTCTGAGAAATCATCTGCACAAAAATTGTAAGAAGAAAAGGCAAGAATAATAATAAAAGTGAAAAAGAAACAATAGAATAATACAAGGGTCTTCCGCTGAAGACGGAAGACCCTAATAAAAAATAGTGGAATAACAGTAAGGTCTTCCGCTGAAGACGGAAGACCTTAATAATAATAAAAATAGTGTAAAAAGAAACCTAAGAATAACAGTAAGGTCTTCCGCTGAAGACGGAAGACCTTAACTAGAGCAAAGCTCATTGCAAAGCAACGAGTAGGTCTTCCGTCCGGTTTTGACCGGAAATGCCGGAAGTGACGGAACAAAAGAAAGCAATAAGCTTAGTAGTCTCCAGTGACTTTATAATTTCAATTTTGAATCAAAACCTTCAAAATAAGCCATTTTTTGCTACTTCCGGTTTGACCGGAAGTGACGACGACGGACGGAAAAACTACTTTTTATGCTCCCAGAGACATATGTTACCAAAAAACTTGTCAAAAACGGCAAAAACGCGTTTCCGACCACTTCCTGTTTGGCCAGAAGTGACGACGACGGACGTATTTTGACGACTCCAATAGATGAAGCTTGACATTTTGAACAACATTGCTTCTTTGACGTCATTCGGCTCCCCTCGGCTGACTACGGTACCCTACATCAAACCTCGGCTGTATGATCTAATTTGATATATCCCGCTACGCCGGGCTTTTGTAATGCGGTCGCTGGTTTACTCATTAGGAAAAACTGACGCTACAAAATAAAGTTGTTTTAAAATGGCGTCCTTTGACGAATGTTTACAATTTGCAATACACAATTGCCCCATATTACGCGAGAAGAGTTTCGAATTGAAAGAAAAACAACTGCAGACGCTGAAAGCTTTGTATGAAGTAAAAGACTGCATATCCGTTCTGCCAACAGGTTACGGAAAGAGTGTAATTTTTCAGATTTTACCGTGGTTTGCCCAGTGCATGCGCCAGAAAGACAAGCCAATGACCGTGATTGTTGTTTGTCCATTGACATCTCTAATGCAGGATCAAGTGCTCGCTCTGAGAAAGTCAGGAATAAATGCATGTAGTGTGAGCATCACAGGTGTGTTTTTATGTCAAGTATAAATATTGAAAAATTTAATGCATCTATTGCCCAGTACAGGCTGATCAGATAAAGAAATGAAATATTGATTAAATTTTTCACATGAACTTTTATAAATAACACCACAACTTTATACATACTAGGTACACATGGCATTACATTTGAGGAAGCAAAGGATGAAAATTCAGACGATGAAGGTACTAGTCAACAATGCACTATTGAATGTGATGTACCATTCCAACAATTACAGACAGGGGAGTTTAATCTAATTTATTCCCATCCAGAAGCACTGATGAAAACTAGATTCGCAAAAGTCTTAAGATCGAAGGTTTATCAGGAAACAGTATGTGCAGTAGTGATTGACGAGGTCCACATGATTTCTGAATGGTAAATTTTTGGATTGTTCACAGCTAGTAAATTGTAAAATTATGTTCCATACAAGATTTATTTTATTTAAATTTTCTTGGTACATATGTGGTACATAAATAACTTTAAACAAATGTAAGAATTGAGATGTTAAAGACCCATAACATATTTCCTGCATGGTATTGTCAATCTAAACTCTTTTAAGTGGTAAACTTATCTCTTGTGGTTCGACTATGTACGAGGGTTCGATTCCCTCCCTAGGCATTTAAATAAATCTAGGCTGGTGCAAAGTGGGCAGATTGCCTAGTGGCCCCACATAGTCGACACTGAACTAAGATAGAACACTTTATAAGTTAGTAAGCACTAAGTAAAAAAATCCTGTATGGATCCATATCTTCATTTAATATTATTATTTTTTTTGTAGGGGAGAAGGGTTTCGTCCTGCCTTTATGAAGCTTGGGGACTTGATATGTGTTTTTGAAAATGCTCTGCATTTACTACTGACTGCAACAGCAACACCAGGATCTGTTAAAACCCTTACAAAACAAATGAATTTTAAAAATCCTGTTGTAATTTCTGAAAATGTAGACCGTCCAAATATCTTTTTGGAGACAAGAATCAGGCTTCCAAACACAAAAAAATTTGAAAAGTTTGATGACTTGATTGAACCTCTTGTCACTGAATTAGGAGAAAAAAGACTCTCTTTTCCTGTAACAATTATGTATGTAGATAATCTTGAAGCTCTTGGGTATTTTTTCCAATATACTGTCTACAAACTTCAGGACTTAGGCTACGAAGGGGAAAAAATTCCTCAAAATAGAATATTTGCGCAATATCATAAGGACTATCCAGAATCCATGAAAAAAATTATAATTCAAGAGCTTACTAAACTAAACCCTAAACTGCGTTTGGTTTTCGCAACAGTTGCTCTTGGAATGGGTGTTAATGCACCTAGTGTTGAGCGGATCATTCACAGTAGACCCCCCACAACAATGGAAAAATACCTCCAGGAAATTGGAAGAGCTGGACGACTAGGACAAGCAGCCACAGCTACAATGTTTTACAACCAGAGTGACATTGCAAAAAATAGAAAAGGAATGACAGAAGATATGCGAAAATACTGTACTAATCAAGGTTGTTTAAGACTGATGCTTGTAAATTACTTTGGATTTGATAGTCCTGTGTATTCAGGAGATAAGCTTAATTGCTGCTCAAATTGTAAAACACTTGTTCAATAGATTTAAAAACTTTGAATTTCATATTTGCATGTTAATTTATTAGCTCGATCTATCTTAATTTACATGATGGACTTTACTGGTAGATTTTGAATCCCTGAATTTTTTTCAAAAAGATGCCTGACAGAGTGTTAATTTCTGTCAGGTAACATTTACATTAAATCAATTTCTTTTGAACTTTTCTGGCTTATACTCTTTGAAAATTGAGGAAATAAAAAAAAGAACAGAAAACAACTAAATAACTATATCTGATACCATTCTATTTATTATCATTCTGTGTCACTTTCATCATCACTAGTTGCTGTTGAAGGGATAACTATTCCTCTTTTCAGTCTTTGTACTTTTTTCATTACCACATCCTTGAAATGGATTGTATCCACAGCAAAAGGAGACAATGCTATTTTTGGAGAGTTCTCCAATTGTCTTCCATTTGTTTTTTCCCAAATTTTCAAAGTAAGAAGTTCTTTGAGAATACATTTTACATCGTCCTGAAATGAACGTTTCTTGTGATGTGTCTTTTTATCGCGAAGGCCAAGCATTCTATCAAAATTACATACAACATCTTGTATGACTGGTGCTGCTTTTGTGATTGTAACGATGGCTTTTTCAGTTTTATTGGAGCCTAGCCCCCGTATTAACTCCTTTAATACCATAACTTCGTTCTCTTTCTGCAAATCTGCTGCTTTATTTTCACCTCCACGTCCACTAATATTTACAAATGAACCATATCGAACTTTCATTGCCATCTTTTCTGACAGCATTATCTCTGTTTTTAGAATATAATCAATACACTCTTCCAAATACTTGGAGTACACTGAATGACTGAAAAATATTGGTATGCAGAATTTCAGAGTGATGTTTGTTCTACAAGAATCTCCCTCTTTGATGGCATCTTTTAATGTTAAAATTATGAAATACCACTGGAGAAATTGCATTACATAATTTTGTAAACCATCTGTGTCTTCATCTTTGGGTTCCGCTTGTGAAATTGTTATTGGAATTTCATTATTTGACACCGAAAGAGTTATCGTCTCTCCTCTTTTAACTTGCTCTGGTGTTAGTCGAAATAGGTATTTCTTATTGTTAATTTCTAGTTCGAAATTTAATAAGCCTTTTTCATTTATTGTGCTGTTCACATTGACACAGGCTCCCAATATATCCACTGTTAATGGAAATTGTGGCTGTTAAAAAATAAAAAGGGTCAAGATTCATTGATGTGAAAATGACACCATGACATGTTTATAAGACAAAAACACGAAAACCACACTCAGGTATACATTTAACTTATAGACTCTAGTTAAATATTAGTGCATACTTTTTCGGGAAATGCCAACATCAACCCGTCAACTATTTCTCCAAGTAGCTGAGAAAAAATTTCCTCCTTTTTTGGATTATGCAGCATTTTCATGTTTTTCTTTGATAATAATGGGTGCTGTGGCTCGTCTGTCAAGGTTTTCATTCCAAAAAAGTGGAGTGTATATGACAAGAAGTACGCAGAGCCAACTGTTAATATGAAGTCCTCATGAGCCTGAAGTAAACAATAAAAATGGAATTTTAAAATTATAATTAAACAGGTTCTTTAAATTGTATAATTAAATGAGTTCCTATAACAAAATTCTAAAGGTAACAAACTTACTTCAAAACGAGACTTTACTTTTCCATTGACGTTCGATCTTTCAATAAGCACCTTGATGTGGTAGAGTGTTCCTTTCTCTCTACCACTTGCAGTATTAAAAAAATGCTTGTACAATTTCTGAAAATGACGAGAAAAAAATAACATCCAGTTTCAACATTGGGGTGAGATTTATTTGATAAGAGGGGTTGGAATGAATAGAAATGTTCAACTACTAGCAATAATTTTATCTACCTCTAATAGATCCATTAATGTATGAAACATTTCCACAATCATAGGATCTAGGTGTTCTAGTCTGTCTGTTGCTGTCAAGGCCCCATCTTGCAACGCCTTGGCTGACTGTAGGCGGACTCTCGTTAATTGATCTCCACCAACTGGAACCTTTATATCATCAAGTTCTGATGCTGAAATATATTTTAAAACAATATATGGTCTGACATTTCTGTTGAGAATTTTCTGTATTTTTATTACAAGTCACTAAAAAATTTAATCAATAATACAGGGATTTTGTGTATGTCTTGATCTGTGTTTCTTGGTTTTTCTATAAAAAAAATCTTTAAAATTACTTATACATCTTTAACTTGAAATTATTTTTTTATTGTTTTGCTTATTGAAAAAAAAAAATTTATAAAGTATCACTAACAAACACAGGATTAATTTGAGCTCTTAGAAGGCTTACTAGATTATCTATAACAATAATATTAAACATATTAAACATGCACACCTCTTCCAGCTTTTGTATACCATGATGTCAGCTGTTGTTCATAGGATTTCAAGATATGAATACAATCAGATAGTGATGTTTCATTCTTAAGCAAGACAGGTAAGATAAAGACTTCAGATTTTTTGGACATGGCATTCTTTTGATCGTGGGGAATATGTGCAGGTATAATTGTTTTCATCCAACTGAAATGGTCAAAGTACTCGCACAAGATCCTTCCCAAAAGAACTTTCAATGACTCCTTATACTTGGAGATTTCATTTGGTGATGGTACAAAGTTTTTGTATGTAATGTTTTCTGCATCACCAACTGGTTTTGAGTCATCAAGATCTTGAACATTAACCCTATCAAAAGTTAAATCAGTTGCAAAGAAGTGGTAATCTTGGTTCCTATTGTCCATCCGGATATCGTTAGTGGTAACGTAGAGATCTAAATTGTCACCATTCAGCTTTCCGTCTTTTCCTTCAGCAATGCCTTGGATGATTTTCTCTGTTGAGTATTCCCCAAAATCATTTAAAATGTTTCTCTTGGTTTCGTGAGACAAAGTTATATGCACCTGATTCAAGCGTTCAAGTATCTGAAATATATTATAAAATGCAGACATTCAAAATAAGTTTTTTTGTAAACTCATATTAGTGATTCTTTTTCAAGATATAGATTGATTGATGAAGAGTCTAATAGATTTTTTTTATGCAATTTGATTTTTTTTTTATCTTTGTGATGTAATCATTGGGTGCCTTTGTTGGCTTTTGAACACATAGAGTTTTAATTTTTTTTGTGTGCAGATAAGACTCCTTATTTATTAAAGACTCCTTATTTATTACATATATTATTATAACTTATTTTCATTTAAGAAGTATAAAATCAGATTATTGGTTTACAAACCCTTGAAGGAAGGAACAGCTGATTGCGCCACATCTCTTATTCAATTGAATTTACTACTATGCCATGTATGTCTCTTCTGAGAAATCAAAATATTTATCAGTAAAAGAGGTTAGTGAAAAACAGAAGCAATAAAATACTTTTGAATTACATGCAAATAAACAAATACTGTAGAAGTGTTTATTGTGGGGAAAAAGGTAAGTTTTTCTGTATGTAAAATTCCCCCAAACATACTCTCACAATATTAATAAACTAATTCAGACTTCTGAAGTAAAGAAAGTGGCTGAATTAGTATAACCCGGTAATCACTTTTACAGCATTACAATAAACTGCTAACTTTACAACATAATAAATGCAAACTTTACTACATGATAAGCAAACTTTATAACATGATAAATGCAAACTTCATAACATGATTGATGCATTAACATTTTAACATGATTGATGCAAACTTGATAAAATAATTTAACTGCTCCCCGAAGCTTTCTTATACTATAGCTGTAGCAGGGTCAATCAAATTTTATAATATAGGAATACTAACAACTAAATAAAACTATTTAATTAAATAAATAAATTCATTTTCATCAAATGTTTTTTTAAGTATTCAACAATGGGTCATAACATGCGAGTGAAAATGAGGTTCAGAATACTTACCTTGTTGTCTGCATGATATCTTATGCATAAGGCAGAGTAAATGCGCTGTATAGCACAGGCTTTGACATTTCTGCAGTGTAGAATCATGCCATATATTGTAGATATTGTGGCTAATTTTGATTCAGGAGACACTCTGTCACCTATAAAAAAAAAACAACTATATGTATCAATTTTACAATGGTAGAACTTTTATATAATACATGCATATCTTTTTACTAAATCTGATGACTAATTTTTAGAAATTATTCTTACGAATAAAATAAAACATACCAACAGCAGCAAACAATATATGAAACAGTTCTGGACACTTTTCATTCATCTCCGAAGAAACATCTCTGAACCAGTTCTTCTTGCTCAGCTCACCGGGGTCTTTCAAAAAAAGAATGCTTTTCCCAGCTTTACAGACATTTTCTATAGATTTTGTGATTGTGGCTGATAACACTGTCTGTTTATTAAATGTTTGCATCAAATCTTGTATATCAGTTTCATCAGCACCATCATTTGATTCATTCCTCACACTCGCAGCTTTGAATTTACAATAGGAAATATGGTCCAGTGCTGTCGGAGTGGACAAATCATGGTTTAAGATGGAGGCAGTTTTCGAAAAACTGGGTTCTAAAGTTGAGATTGTGGTATCATTGGCTGGTTCAACAAATAATTTTTGTCGTGATCTTTTTGCACCACCACCACCACCATTCAAATTTAACATTCAAATTCATTTTTTCTCATTAATTGATATCACAGAACTTTGAAAACGTATTGTAATCAGCAACATTTGTGACTGCTTCAAAGCTTTTGAAGAAGGTGACAAAAGAGCATAATACATTTATTTGTGTGATAGGAAAACCGCTTCTGTCTTATTAAAAATGTGTACAATGTTTTTTTAGCAAGTGAAGTCACATGTTGAAATGTTAAAATACTGAACACGTGACTACCCGCCTCTTTGAAATAAAAGTGTCAGACATTTTTAACATTTATGAAAGACAATCAGGTATTGAAAGCACCTAAACACTCCTTTTAGATTTCAAATTCATTTTATTGTATATATTTTTTCGCACACATACATTTTGTTTGATTAACAAGGCAACTACACCTTTTCAATTTTTTAAAACAGATATAGCACAAAAAAGTTACATTCGCGGTAATCCACCATCAGATTGTTCAAGATCTCTTGCCTTGATTTACATAACATAATTTTCGGATTTTTTGTCCATATAGGCATTTAAAAAAGTCAATTGTTTCAAATCCATGCTGATTTGGGTGATGATTATCGTGCTTTTTAATTAGAAATATACACTAGTATATAACTATTTCCAAAAGAGAACGATTTGGTTATATATTCTAAAGTAAAATGGCACATAAAAAGGGCCCATTAAGCATTGCTTAAGTGCACTTGTCCTTTAACTGCTTCATTTTCTCCACAGAACTTTGAATTTGTTGATGCTTCAAGGAAGAAGGTGTTTTTGATAACCGCTTCTGTCTTTTATGTAATTTTTCAAAGTCACGAATGTTATCAACACATGGTTTTACTTGCACACGTTTCGCACACATACATTTTGTCCAACAAGGCCTTTTAGTCCGGTAAAATCTTCTATTGCCCTAACATAATTTTCTTTTGTTGATTTGAACTTTGTTAAACAGTGTAAACGTTTAGATGGAGACTTTTTACACAACAAACAAGCTGGATTAGTTGATGGAATGTACAATGGTTTTACCGGTGTTATGGGCGCCGCCATTTTTGATGTTGCTTAACAGACGTAAACAAAAGTAGTTCCAATGGCGCGATTGGTGATACAGCCGAGGTTTGATGTAATCGGCCGAGGTGTGATGTAATCGGCCGAGGTGTGCCGATCGGGGATAACATTAAAACTCGTTGGATAAAAATTATATCCAACTGCAAATAATGAGACACGTTATTTCAACCCTACATCACAGCATTTAGATATAATTGAAATTCTTACCAGGTTTTCTATTATCTCTTCGAAATCACCCATTGACATTTCCTTCAAAGAAAGAATAAAATTTTTAATTGAGAATATAGAAGACTTTAACTTCAACAGTGGCATTTTAAGATGAATTATTGCCTGTTGTAATCCTACTGTAACAAATGAGTCAAAGTAAATCCTTAGTCCCTTTTGAAGCCCCCCTCCATAAAATAATTCCTGATTTATTATGTGCACTTGTTTATTTTGTAAAATTTATTATATATATATATATATATATATATATATATATATATATATATGTATATGTATATATATATATATATATATATATATATATATATATATATATATATATATATATATATATATATATATATATATATATATATATATTTATTAGACCATATGAAGAAATTCATATAATAGAAATATTTACATGCGGATACCAATATTTCAATTTTGTTACTGTGCTGTTTTGCGAAAAAAATATTGTTTAAAAATCTATTTTAAAATATTTTTCCCAATATATTACCCTCTCTAGATAAAAAGCGTCAAAAAATTAACACTAATCAGTCAATATTTGCATGTTTTCCCCAAGTCTGCTTAATTACTTTCATTTCATGCATTATCTACTTCTTATAATATATCCATTATTGAATTATTTTAGTATGTTTGATAATTGGAAAATATTATTCTTGAGTATTGACAGTTAACATTGTGCTGAAGAAATAATTTTTTTTATAATTACCTCGTCCGATTCTCCAAAGCTGTTTTCCTTAAAAAGAGTAAATGTTAAGCATATTACGAATTTAATTCAAATATCAATTTACGATAGCAGTAAAAACGAATTACCATGCCTAAATGTTGTCTTCTTGATTCTTTGTAAATTTCATTTCATTTCTTTTAATTTTTAAATACAAGAAATACATTGTTTAATGAGGGGAATCCCACTTCAAAGTTTGTTTAAATACATACCTCCTTCCACGGAACTGTATATTACGACATTAAAATACAGAACTGTGTTTTGCTTTTGCCTAGTCAAAGTACTCAGGTGAACTCTGTGGCCCCTCTTCCTCTTGTTTATTTGATGTACATGTACTTCAGTCCTGCTGATCCGTAAAATTCTTTCAATGTTTAACTTACCGTATTTGAAGTCATGATTAATCGTCCTTCCACCAAGTGTTCATAAAAATCTGTGAATAAAATGCAATAATTAATTGAACAATTTATCTCGTTATATACATTATTCTGTAACATTGGGTGTTTTTTCCCTGGAATATAAAACTTTTTTTATACTAATTGAGACAATTATGACCAGTAGCTTCACTTAACTATTAGAAATCGTTCCACTTTCTTTTAATTCGAGTTTAAAATTGTATTTTTATCGCACATTATTATGAAATAGAAACTGCAAATGAATATAAAGATTATTTTCAGTATTAAAATAGATTAGACTTATCACTTAGCACAATTAAGGTAAATAAAGGATGTAGACACAAATTTTATTGGAAATGTTAATTCTTACATTATACAATGTACAAATTCTTTATAATATCACAATATGATAAACTTTTTCGAATTTAAACTGTACAAGAGACTTAATATGCATTGCAACTTACCATACCATGCCTCTTTGGTCTTTGAATACAAGATACGATTTAAAATGGTCGCAAATCGCTATAACACTGTCGATATGGCTTCATTGTGTCAAAACTGACATAACAGTTGAATTGAAGCGTGTTCTACATATGCACAGTTGCTAAAAACGGGGTAAAGTATTGACAAACAAGTTGATGAAAGAAGAATATTAGCCGTCTCGTTAAGAGATAATTAGCAATCTTGTTAAGAATTAATTTTTTCTCGAGAGAAATATCACAAAATTAATCAAACCCATTAAAAAGTGATATTTTCGTGTACTGTATAATTTTCAAGCCACAGTTATAAAGGTAAGAAATCCAAAATAAAAATATTTTGATTTACTATAGTGATAAACACAGTCGTAGTCACAAGGGGAGAGCAGTGGGGGCTTCCCTTTCAAATCTGGGAGGACAAGACTATGTCCCCCACTTCATGTAGAACAAAACTACAGCTACGAGTATGTTATCAAACATTAATTCATAGCAAAATTATTTTATTTTCAACATTATCTGAGTAAGCTTTTCTTTTGAAGTAATAGTAGTGTTATATAGTCATTAATCTGTCACAACCTGTTGTGTTCGCCACCTTTAGATAGGGAGGCGAGTAATTAAGTTGCATCATGAGTTCCATCCAAATGAATTCACAGTCTTTAGAACTAGTGATGTGCAACCAAAAGTTATTTGAGAATGCCTGCTACCAGAAACAAGAACCAAAAGGAGAATAACAACACAATCCAAAACAAAGGGGAAACCGAAGGCAAAACATTAAATTGGCGAAAAACCAAGAAAGCAGTATGTCAAGCATTCAGAACTTTATAGATTGTGAAGATTATGGATAAAATGTGAAGAGTGCTTGATTTAATTAAAAAATAGAGCCTTAAATTGATTTTTAGGACAGAAATACGTTCTTAAA